CTGCACAGGCTCTCCTCCTATGCGGTTCCTGGTTTCAGATTTTTAGATTTGTGCATTTAACTTGGAGTGTCTGTAGAGGTCAAGACGGTAGAAAGTGGCCATGAAAGGCAGGAAGGGAAGAGGTCTTCACTGGGAGAGTCAATAGGATACATGGAATATTCAAGCAGAGGGAACAGCGGGTTTGAGTTTAAGCAGCAATGAGGACAGGGATAGGGCTGAGTTAACCAAAACTGAGGATGTGTGAAAAAGCTTTTTGGAAACCTACTATTTTTTTTTTCCGTTTTTTTTTGAGACAGGGTTTCTCTGTGTAGTTTTGGTGCCTTTCTTGGATCTCACTCTGTAGACCAGGCTGGCCTTGAACTCACAGAGATCCACCTGGCTCTGTCTCCCGAGTGCTGGGATCAAAGGTATGCGCTGGTGGTGTTTTTTTTTTTTAAACTATTTATTTTTATTTTATGTACATTGCTGTTTTGCCTGCATGTGTGTGTGAGGATACCAGATCCCCCGGAACTGGAGTTACAGACAGTTGTGAGCTGCCGTGTGGGTGCTGGGAATTGAACACGGGTCCTGTGGAAGAACAGCCAGTACTCCTAACCACTGAGCCATCTCTCCAGTACTCATAAAATGCTTTTTTTGTCAGGGCATTTTATCACAGCAACAAAGGAAACCAGGGCAGCTGCCCACCATAACTAGATGATAAGACCCTAATGCTGGAAACACCGCACGCTTTGGCTGAAGGACACGGACAAAGAAATCTGGAACTGACCAGAGAGTCTTCCCTGCTAGCTAGTTTTCATAGTGCCAGAAGGTTCCTGGGCTGTTGAAGGTGAAAAAGAATCAATGGTCTTACCCAGCAATGCAGTATGCTATTGACCTACAGACATGATGTGCCCACTGGTGCATAGCTGTGTGATGTTTCAGGGTCTGACAGTTTCTTTCTGCTTTTATTTGAAGGCTGCTCCACAGGAAGGAAGTCATGCCCTGCACTGTCCACACAGTCCGAAGCCCGTGGCTGGAGAGGTCACAGGCCCTAGGATGGGAACCTATTGCTGCTGTGTTAAATACTCATGTTGTCAAACTGCCTTCTAAATATTTATGTTTATATCTACAGATTAGTGCTGCTGTGGGCTGGAGCAGAGTTAATTAGTTAATACAGAGTCCTAACTGGTCAAAAATAAGTGATCACTGGGTACTCAGCTACAAATGGGATGTCTGTATCAACCCCTCCATTCCCCGAGGCGCAGGGAACCGCTGCAGAAAGGGTGGAGAGGTTGTAAGAGGCATAGGATAGAGATGGGTGATGTGAAATATCATCTTCTGGACACAACATGGTCATGGTACTCATGTCCTCAGAGCAGCTATGGACACCTGCACAAAATCAAGCCAGCCAAAATCCCAGCATGAATGGCGAAGAGGCTTGTGAAGTCCACTCCTGAGAAGCACTCACAACTGGTGGCTGCTAGGGGGGTCCATTTTCTTCAGGAGTATGGCTGTTAGTACGTTGTCCACAACCCAGTCAGTGTCTCTCTCTCTGTCTCTCTCTCTCTCTGTCACACACACACACACACACACACGCACGCATGCGCACGCGCACGCACAACCATGAAGGTGGGAGACATGAAAAGTCTGGGGAGAAAAGGAGGAGGGAATGTATATATATATAATATATATATATATATGTTATATATATGATATTGTCAAAGATTAAATAAATTATAAAAAATAATTACAAGCTGGATGTAGGGTAATATCACTCAGGAGCCAAAGGCAGGTAGATCTCTGGGAATTCGAGAGCAGCCTGTTCTACATAGCAATTTCCAGGCCAGCCATGGCTACACAGTGAGACCCTGTCTCAAAAATGGGGACAGGGAGCTGGAGAGATGGCTCAGTGGTTAAGAGCACTGGCTGCTCTTCCAGAGGACCCAGGTTCGATTCTCAGCTCACAACTATCTGTAACTCCAGTTCCAGGGAATCCAACACCCCGCTCTGACATCTGTGGGCACCAGGCAGGCATATGGTTCGCAGACATACATGCACGCAAACATTACACAAAAAATAAACAAGTTTTTAAAAATTACAAAGTATTTTAATTCCTTCTTCCTATCATCTTTTGTACCATCACTGCCATTCATTTCTCTATGTATATTCACACACACACACAGATATGGTAGATCATTTATGTTTAGTAAACTTACCTGACAGTTTAACATGGAAAAATAAAAATTATTTCATTTACATTTATGCTTTCTCTGCTTTTTTTTGGTAGAGTTTCTGACCTCTATCTCTGAGTCTCTGAGAACGAGGCAGGGCTACTGCTAATGACTAGATTTCGTCTGTCTGATGCTCTGGCTTGTATATAAAATGTCCTCCGTGGGTTCATGTGTCGGAAGACTTGGTTCTCAACCAGCGGCACTGTTCTGAGGGTTTGTTAGGATGTGGTGCCCACCTGGAGGAAGAAGAACCCGATAACAGCTTCTGGGGACTACACTGAGGAGTCAGGGTCGGAGGAGAGCCCAGCCTGCAGTGTGCCTGGGACAGGACAGCGGCAGGAAGAGCCAGCACCACCCTCACTTGGGTTCTGGCACTGGATGAGAGTCACCCAGGAAGGTGTGCGTCCTGCAGGCGGTGAGAGGCCAGCAGGGCTGAACTCTCCATTCTGAGTCAGACGTCAAGTGGGGTGTGGATGGACACGCAGGTGTTTCCTACTCACTGCATGCTGTGCGCTGCAGACATTGAGTTGCAGGTTCTGCATGGAGGGTGTTAGCTGACGGTGTCTCCTTGAATGCACGTTTGTTGTGTCCGGTAGTGTCGTCCCCCCCCCGCCCGCCCCCATGACAATCCCTGTGCCTTCCCCTGTGGAGAAGCCGTTCCATCTTCCGACTCTGGAGTCAGCTTTCCTCGCTGCAGCCACCAGGTAGTGTATGTGTGGGGTACACTGACTGGAAAGACGGGGTACACAAGGTAGTCCCGCCTATCAGATCTCATCCTGTGGCAGTCTTGCCCTGCTCTGCACACAGAGCCTACGGGTCTCACAGGTCTACAGGGAAGGGCCCTCAGGAAGATCCCGAAAGCTCTGGGGCGTGGTGAACAAACATCTCTCCATATTCTACCAAAAGCTGACAGTTGGTGGTAACACACTTGTACTCCCAGCACTCACAAGGGTGAGGCAGGATTCTGAGTTTGGCCAGTCTGGGCTATATATAGAGACCCTGGCTGGCGGAGGTCTCCTCCCAAGAACAGAGTCTATTATGCAAGCACAGTCAAGTATTGGACTAAGCCAGGCGTGGTGGTGTATGCCTTTAATCCCAGTACTCAGGAGGCTGAGGCAGGAGGATCTCCGTGAGTTAGAGGACAGCCTGGTCTACATGGTGAGTTCAAGGCCAGCCAGGGCCACATAGTGAGACCTCAGGAAGTGAGACTCAAAAAGGAAGATTGAAAAAAAAAAAGCAAACAAAGCAAGTATTTCCACACTGTGTGATCTGGATCTTCTTCAGGGCCCTGAGGTGTCCCCTCCCCCACTCCACAGTTTCACCTGGGGGATCTCCTCACTGTGCCTCCAGAACAGTTTCCTGTAAATTCTGTATCTGCTCAAACACTGCCTCCCACAGGAGGCTTCCCTGGAACAGTCACCCGCACACTGCCCAGCAGAATCTGACCACTCATCTTCCTATCCCAAACCTTGTTAGTCTGTCCAGGAGCCCTGTGGTGGGGAGGAGGCCGAGGAGAAGTCCTCTGGGTGGAGAGTGAGCGACGGTGGCCTTTTCTGCTCAGAAGGCCAGGGGAAAGAATCTCCTCAGCAGAATCAGGTTCTGAGGAGGTTCCTGGAGCTTAAGGACACACGGACGTGGAAACCCACAGCAACTACTGAAAGGTGCCTACAACCCAAGCATCCTTCCAGTGGTACCCACATGCTCATTCAGCCTGTGGTAGGGACACCAGGCCTTCATGGAGGTCCCTTCTGGCCCTGGGTTTGGGCAATACCTCAACTTACAGACCATATAAATTTCAGCAACTGCTGTACAGGGATCAGTTTCTCAAAGTATTAGAACATGTCCTTAAGGAGCTGCTGGGCCATGTTCTTCCCATTTGAAATGTGTGGCTGTACACTTGTGTGGAATCCCAGGAGAAAACCTCTTGTGAAAGCCACAGGTCTCCACACATCACCATCTGAACTCTATCTTTTTTTTTTTTTAATTTGTATTTATTTTTATTTTTTGTGTATGATGTTTTGCCTAAATGTATGTCTGTTCACTAAGTGTGTGCCTGGTGCCCACGGAGGTCAAAAGAGGACATCAGATCACTTGAACCTGGGGTTACAGGAGAGTGTTAGCCACGACGTGGGTGCTGGGAATCGAACCCATGTCCTCTGCAAGAACAGTCAGTGTTCTTAACTACTGACCTATTACTCTAGTCCCTCTGCCTTGTTTTTAATCAACACAGTAATTGTACCTACTTTTAGGGTACAGTGTGATACCCTGGCACACACCCACAGTGGGTAACTATCAGATCATATCCCTAGGTACCCATCAGTTCTCAAGAGGTGAGACCTCTCTTCCAGCTGTTCTGAAACATGCCCATTGCTCACTCCAGTCTCTCTACGAAGAATACCGGAGCTCACTGCCTGTCTGACTTTAATTCCATGCCCACTTTGATGCCCACCCCTCTTATACCTTGCCTCTAGTAATTACTGTCCTAGTCTTTGCTTCAATGAGGTCAGCTTTTCCAGCTTCCCTATGAGTGAAGTCTTGTGTATGAATGGATAAAGAAAATGTAGCAGGTGTAGGGCACAGGCCTATAATCCCAACACCCAAGAGGCAGAGGCGGGAAGATCTCAAGTCAGAAGCCAGCTAGGGATACACAGTGAGACCTAGTCTCAAAAAGCCAAGGGCTAGGGATGAATCTCTGGAAAGTGCTTGCCTAACCTGTACAAGGTCCTGAGTTGGGTGGGATCTTAGCACTAACAGAAACACACACCATAAAATATAGAACACGCTCAGTACTCAGTGGTGAAAAAGAATGAAATTCCATCATTTGCAACAGCATGGAAAAACCCAGAGGGCACGAGCTTTACGAAATGAGCAGGCACAGAAAGACAAGTGCTGGGTGCTCCCGTCTCAAGGAGCACAGAGTGGAAGGAGAGGGAGAGCAGATGGAAGGATGGACAATGGGGGCCGAAGGACAGGTAGGCAGGAGGAGCATGCCCAGTACTCCAGACACGTCGGGGGGACCACAGTGCCTGGCAGTTCACTGTGTTCATACACATGTGAAGGACAGGTAGGCAGGAGGAGCATGCCCAGTTCTCCAGACACGTCGGAGGGACCACGGTGCCTGGCAGTTCACTGTGTTCATACACATGTGAAGGACAGGTAGGCAGGAGGAGCATGCCCAGTACTCCAGACACGTCAGGGGGACCACGGTGCCTGGCAGTTCACTGTGTTTATACACGTGTGAAGGACAGGTAGGCAGGAGGAGCATGCCCAGTACTCCAGACACGTCGGGGGGACCACAGTGCCTGGCAGTTCACTGTGTTCATACACATGTGAAGGACAGGTAGGCAGGAGGAGCATGCCCAGTTCTCCAGACACGTCGGAGGGACCACGGTGCCTGGCAGTTCACTGTGTTCATACACATGTGAAGGACAGGTAGGCAGGAGGAGCATGCCCAGTACTCCAGACACGTCAGGGGGACCACGGTGCCTGGCAGTTCACTGTGTTTATACACGTGTGAAGGACAGGTAGGCAGGAGGAGCATGCCCAGTACTCCAGACACGTCGGAGGGACCACGGTGCCTGGCAGTTCACTGTGTTCATACACATGTGAAGGACAGGTAGGCAGGAGGAGCATGCCCAGTACTCCAGACATGTAGGGGGGACCACGGTGCTTGGCAGTTCACTGTGTTCATACACATGTGAAGGACAGGTAGGCAGGAGGAGCATGCCCAGTACTCCAGACACGTCGGGGGGACCACGGTGCCTGGCAGTTCACTGTGTTCATACACATGTGAAGGACAGGTAGGCAGGAGGAGCATGCCCAGTACTCCAGACACGTTGGGGGACCACGGTGCCTGGCAGTTCACTGTGTTCATACACGTGTGAAGGAAGGACACAGAGGCTCCAACACACAGAACCAACACATGCTTGAGGTGGAAATGGCTCCTGCCTGATCTGACCACCACACACTGCAGACAGACATCTCTACACACCAGCGACCTTGTATCCACTAAATACGTGAGGGGGCCAGCTGAGCTGACACACACCTATGATCCTAGCACTTGGAAGGTTGAGGCAGGAGGACTGCTGCAAGTCTGAGGCCAGCTCGGACTAGAGTGAGAACCTGTCTCAAAAAAACAAAACCCAAAGTGACGGGCTTGCGGAAGTGGCTCCTAGCAGTAAAGTGAGCGCCTGCACTGAAAGCACGCAAGATTGAGCAAAGGGAAAGAGAAGACAGCCTGACCCATTTCTAAAACAGGCACCCAGTCACACTTCTGAGTAGCCGGGTCGGAACACCGGGAGACCGGCACTGTTTCTGGTGCAGGTAGCAGCAGAGGTATCTGCTCTGCGGGCATTTGTGCTGGGGGCGGCCTGCACTAGGGGCTTTAGCCAGTCACTGCACACATGGCCAGAAAAGGCTGTCTGCCAGGGCAAGGCCAGTAGACTGGCCATGGTCATCAACTTACTAGATTAGGAGATGTCTAGGAGTGGTAAGACATGCCTGTGTGTCTGGGGGAGGGGAGCGTGCTTCCAGAGGGACAGTGACTAGGGAAAGGGGGCTTCTCCGATTGTGAGCAGCCTGAATGGGTGGTGGAGGAAGCAGTGTGCAGGCCCTCTCTCTCTCTCTCTCTCTGAGAGTGCAAGGCTGTGGCCCTCCTCCACTGACACCAGCCTCCAGAATCTTTGACCTTTTAATGCAGAACCAATACAAGCCTTCGGCACTGGGGCTGCTGGGTCCAGATTCTTGGCCTGGGCAGTTACAGTGAGCACAAGGCTGTGCGTGGACCCAGCCCCTACGATGTACGTAGTCCAATAAACACTCTGTTCTAATACACACATACAGGCACTAGGACTCACTCCATAGACCTCTAAGTGATGAGCACGAGAAGGTGCTGGGGGCTACGGCAGCATCTTAAGGGGGAACCAATGCCTGCGGCAGGTGAATGGCAGAGTTAGACCAAGTACTCATACCTCCCTCAGAATGACTGGCATTTTCTTTACTGTTTGGCAAAAATGGTAAAAAGATGACAATATGGTGTGACTTGTGCACGGTAACCTGGGTCACAGCCCCACACCTGGGTCACAGCCCCACAGTGGCAGCACAAAGCTGGGGTCTCAGTGAGGACAGGAAGGATGGCTATGCTGTGGTGGCCATCCTTACCTGAACAGGACTTGGCCCACATGCTGAGGGCACCTGGAAAACACATCGCACTCATGCAGCCACGGCCTCTTGGTGGCCCATCCTAGGAAGGTGCATCTCCCAGCACCAAGAATGGCCTCCCAGGTTCCAGTTGAAAGGACACAGGGCTAGCAGCAGCAGAATCAGGAGAGCCATGCCAGGGACGGCCGTTCTGAAGCTTGCCCCACTACATCAGCTTTCTCATACGCCGGTTATGCTTGTCCACAGTCAGGGTTGCCTGGTCCACAGCTACGGTGATGCCATCCAGAGCCTCGTCCTGGCGCTCGAGCTCGGCCTCGGTGTCCAGCGCCAGTCCCTTCAGCTTGCTCAGGATCTGAGAGAAGCAGAAATGACAAGCATACACTGTTTCCATCCTCAGCGCACTAGCAGGAGTCTGACGTAACCAAAGGGATACGGTTTTCTGAGTCAGGAGGACACAGCCTACAGAGCTGCTGCCTGGGCTTGGCCTCGGCACTAGGCTGGACCCTGTGGTCCCAGGATGCAGCTGCCCACCATCGGTGAGTGTACGTGACCATCCCAGAAGGTGCTAAGTGAAACCATTGTGGACCTGGGCTAACAGAGTCCCTAGGCTACATGGCTCACACTGCTAGGCAGACATTGGAGTGAACCTTGAACTCGGTACAGCAGTGCGCTTGTCATGCTGCAGCAGCTGTGTGCAGCTGTGCTCACAACTCCCATACCAGCAAGGGAGGCAAGCATTCAGACCTGGGTAAGTCACCAGATGTTGGTGATGTTCAAGTCCCCGCACAAGGTTCCTCTGAAAATGCATCCTCATCATTAAGTGACAAGTGCCTATAATTTATAGGCCACACAACACAAGGTCACTTCAAAACTACAAGGCTGGCCATCCTTACCTCGGGTGGGTGGTGCAGAGGGCACGGAGGGTCTCAGGACAGGTATGTGTGCCCACAGGGCCACTGGAGAAAGCAACAGACCACTGCAGGCCAGACAGGTTGGGAGGCCCATCTCCCCTAGCTTCCCTCACTCACATCAGTGATGCACGTCATACTTCAGGCAGTTTTATTTTCCTGCAGTTCTGAGCTCCTCACACTGTGGTTGCCCTATGTTCTCGGGAAGCTGGGTCAAGCAGCTAATATTTCCAAGCTGACAGGAAAAGGGAAAACTTACTAAAGAAAACAGCGCCCGCCACTTGGGATGACTGTGAACACCTTCTTCCAGGGGAAGCCTCACATCACAGTGAGCCAAGGAAGAGGGATTGAGGAACCCGAGTGTAGTGGATACCTCTCCACCTATAACCTTTAAGTACCAGCCCCTGGGGCGTGGCCTCGGGGCTACCCTTAAGACCTGAGAGGCACATAGGCCTCTCTCTTCTTCCTGTTGTGGGCTTGGATGGTGCAGACTGACCCAGGCGGCAGAAGAGCATGGGACAGGACCTCAGCCTTCCAGGACCCTGCAACAATTCGCCTATTCTGTTTAGTGAGTTGTCTTTTCCAATCTATGTCCTGATAAATTCATTATACCCCTTAAGCAGACTCCCTTGGATTTCTTGCTATACCCAAGTCATCAGGACATCTTGGACACAATCACTGTCTCCCCACAGCTGCTTATGGCAGGGATGGGCTGAGTGGGGACTTCAGAGGCCCCCAAAGTCGGTCTAGTGAGTGCATTATATTCTAAGACCGTCCCTGACCCCTACCTGAGGACACACATGAAAGTGTCCTATGAGGGTCTGGCAGAGCTACCACACACCTCAGGTGGCCCAAACTGCTCTCTCGGCACCTAGCTGGTACCTCCGGTCACACACTAAGTGCTCAGTTCTAGTTCACAAAGGCACCCTTGCTCATAGGCTGGCACTTCCACCAGCTTGGAGACCCGGCCAAGAGCTGTGCATTTGACTAACAACACACACACACAAGCAGGAGAAGCCAGGACAGCAAGGCCTAAGTTCTTTCCCAACAGCTAGAGTCATATAAGCCATCCACACAATAAACTGCAAACGACAAAGGCCTGTACTGGGGCCACCAATGGGCCTCAGGAGCTCCTCTAAATACAGGCTACTCCAAAGCATGCGGAGAGATTGACAGAGTGAGACAGCCTGTGTCTCCCCGTGAACACTTCATCACAAGACTGAGCATGCTCTCTGCAGTTCTAGATCTGTTCCCCCAAAGCTGGCTCAAGCTCTGGAGAGCACACTGTGGGGTCAGTGAGCCCTGGAGATGGGCGATGACATCACACAGTAGGTCTTTTCTATCTCCTATACTTGTGATGACCTCACACAGTGGACCCCAGACAACAAAGTAAAACAAGGAAATGAATCCCCTAACACCCCGTCCCACCCTCTCTCCGGGCAACATTTCTCTCTCACCTGCCTGGTGCCACCTACTTGTCTGTCACTCTGTCTGTCATCTGACAAGTCCCCTAGCCTCCCACAGTCAGGCCATACACAAGCCCTGGCCATGCTTCTCTACAGTCTCCGGGGCTGTGTACACGTGGGTCCCATACAAGCACATGTCTTTGCAGAGGGTGTAAATATACTGTGATAGGCCAATAATGCAATTCTCGGCTAGCACCCTTGTCCTGCAGGTATACGTGCCATGGTCTGAATAGAAATGTTTCAGACTATGATCTCTTTGGAACCAGGATCCAGGTCCTGCCAGAACTCTGGGCGCCACAGCTTCCAGCCAGGCATGTGTGGAGCCTGTAGCACATTGGACATTGGTTTACTTAGGAGGTAGTGCTGTGGGATGGTCTGTATGTCAAGTGTGTTGCTGACTGGTCAATAAATAAATCACTGATTGGCCAGTGGCCAGGCAGGAAGTATAGGCGGGACAAGGAGGAGAATAAAGCTGGGAAGTGGAAGGCTGAGTCAGAGACACTGCCAGCCGCCACCATGACAAACAGCATGTGAAGATGCCGGTAAGCCACGAGCCATGTGGCAAGGTATAGATTTATAGAAATGGATTAATTTAAGCTGTAAGAACAGTTAGCAAGAAGCCTGCCACGGCCATATAGTTTGTAACCAATATAAGTCTCTGTGTGTTTACTTGGTTGGGTCTGATGGCTGTGGGACTGGCAGGTGAGAGAGATTTGTCCTGACTACGGGCCAGGCAGGAAAACTTTAGCTACAAGGTACAGTTTGTCTTGTCTGTGTCTAAGAACAGTGCTGTGGGAAAGAAGAGACTTAAAGAAGAAAAGGAAAGCTGACTGTGACCTAATTATTATGCATCACATTTGTGTGACAAGTTGGCATCCTTACCCCCCAAATCCCAAATCTGAGTCTTTCTGAGCTGATGTGACGCTACCGTAGGCCACCACACCTGATCTCACATAGGCCACGTCAAAATGCAGGCACACTCATCAGGCACGGAGGGGCACATCTGCAATCCCAGCACTTGCAAGGTGGAGGCAAGAAAATCAGGAGTTCAAGGCCAGTCTCAGCGACATACGGAGTTTGAGTCCAGCCTTGGATGACACAAAACCCTATCTCAAAACAACAAAATAAAATATAAAACAAAACCTCCAAAATGCAGGTACATTGTAACTATTGTCTGAGGTCTTCTTCAGGTATGTGTCCAAGGTGCACACGAGACAAGTGAATTTCATGTTTAGACTGGGTCCCAGCCTGAGGCTATCTCATGTCTGAGAAATATTTCAAACTCCTAAATAATCCCAAACCAGTAGGGTACCACGTGCTTCAGAAAAGGGATGTTCAGCCCATGTGAGCTGGATTTTATTGCTACATCCACATGCTTGCATGAAAACTAAAAATACGTGATTAAAGCACACTTCAGTTTTGTTTCCTGGCATTTGCTTTTTCATTCTCTGATGAGCTTAAACAAAAGCTTCAGCTATGGGGCCCCCCTCCAAGGCAACTCACAGAACTTAATTTTAGGAACTGCTCATTTTTTTTTTAATCTCAAACTCTTTTTAAATAAGGTCCAGAAAAGCTGAGCACTGGCCATGAGCTCTGGGGCTCACTGGATCCAGACTGAGCTAGCTTACAGGAGACATAACCACTAGCTTGGCATTAACCGCCACAGGAGGATGATTCAGTCACATCACCAGGGCACTGTGAGAAATCACATGTCCCTGAAAACAAAGCAAGGATCTCATCTGGGCCTGGAGGAGGCAGTCACTCCTGGATGCTGGGCTGCACAGCCTAAGCAGCCCTCCCAGCCAGGGGTGGCCAGAAAGCTGCAGCACAGGAAGAAATGATGCATTCTTAAATGACCATATAGTGAGTGAAGAGTGAATACATCCAAAATACACTTCAAAAAGAGAGTGAACCAAAGTCGTGACTGGTTAAGATAATACACACAATACAGAAGTCCTGGATGCCAGTGTGAACATTAGGCTTGACAGACATCTCAGCCAGGACAAACATGAATACCAGCCATATGAAACAGGAGTAAGGGTCACAGGACCTTGTGTCCACAAAGACCACCTCTATGACAGTCTATGAGACTTACATTTCCACTGTCATCTTCCTGAAAAGCTAAGTCAATTGCTTCTGCCTGTGCACAGTGAGAAGAAAAAGAAAGATTACGTGTGGGCTGAGGATGTAGCTCAGCTGACGCTCAGTCCCCAGAATTACATAAACCGGGTGTGGTGGTGTCGGCCTGTAATCTCAGCACTTAGGAGGTGGAAGTCAGAAGACCAGAAATTCAAGGTCATCTTGACTAGGCCAGCCTCAACTACATGAGATCTTCCCAAAGGGGGGGAAAAAAAGGCGAGACAGTGTATTCCGTGACCTTTGCCTAACAGTCAAAGAATATTCACATATAATAACCTGTGGCCCAAACAGCTCATTGCCTATCCAAGTAGGCAATATAAAGGCTGGTTGCTATTTAACATTTGATTTGGAAAAAGTCTCACCATTTTTTAAGTCTTAAAAATAGAACTCATTCCAAATAGCCCGCTAAGACCCCTTGGCCTGTCTGCCAAAATGCACTTGGAATTAATTAATACTGCCCATACTGAAAAGACATCCAACAGCTTCTAGGTCTGCAGACAAAGAAAGTAACAGAGCTAACCTTCCCGGCACTAATACCTTACAATATTGGTAGCCTTTTTTCTTTAAGAGAGGGATTGAAGTAATTAAATAGCACCACGCACATTCCATATAACAGGGGATGGAAAGAATGGAGCTCGTGAAGTCTGGCCAAACCTTAAAAACAGTTGTTCCCTCTGTGGCCCAGGATGACAAGCTGTCTAGTCATCAGCACATAATGCTGCCAGTCTCTGACGTACCCGGGGGGCCCCTTGATGAGCCCTCTCTGGCTGTGAGTCAAAGACCAGGCTCAAATGGACGTTCCCACAAGTCCCTGATATGTAACAAACACACAGTAACCA